CTCCTAAGGAATCAGTCCTGTATTCATATCCTTGGCCTCCACAGCCTGTGCCTTTTGTTTGCCAGGTAACAGTGACCTGAGATGAGCTCTTTGTCTTTATGCTCCCTTCCTGCTTGGTGAGCAGTTCTTTGAAGCAGCATGCCTGTCTAAAATGCTGCCCACCACTGACCGGTTAGAGCTGGTCCGAATGCGATGGAACTTCCCTAGGCCGCAGCATCTACAGCCATGCCAAATAGCTCACTTAGCTGGTGTATGTTTTAAACATATTCTTATAGTTTCAAGGTTATTTCTGCTTGTTTATTATCAATGGATTACTTTTGTTATTGTTTTAAATTAGCACTACAAAGATATGTGCTTAAACCTCTGGGAGGGGGATAATTTTGACACTATTTGATTTTATAATGTGAAAAGCAGATATGCTATGGTTTAGAGGAATGCCTGCTTTTCTATGCATCATTAATCCCATGGAAAGAGTACTTTAAAATGAAAATATAATGTTTGAGATGCATGAAAATGATCAAAAGACAGATGTATGGTAGCACCAGATACAGGTATTTCTACTTGAAATAAAAATTTGAGTTGCTGCTCATTGAAGCCGGGTTTACTCAATGCTCAATTTTCTCAGTATTCTGTAGCAAAGAAGACAAGAGACAATATGGCAATGTAACCAAGGCAAAAAAGCAAGTCAGGCACAAAACAAAGGACAAGACTGCTGCCCACAGAGGAGTATAGATCCCTGTTCCTGGCTTGTTCCCTGGCTCATCTCTGCCATCTCCCTTCCCCTTTGCGCTTTGTGCATTTTACTGAGTTTTCTTGCCTGATGTTTATCTTTTTTTTTTTAGCACTGTTTCAAAGGCTCTGAGTGAGGGATAAGGTTTTGTGATCATCTCAACTGTTCCTTGGCAATGCATGGTAATTCTTTTGACTTATTTGCTATCCTCCATTGAACAGATCATAAGATGGTGGCTGAAAAACAGAAATTAATCTTGTGTTGAAGTGATTCAATAATGCTATGGATGTGTCTTCTATGTAAGTGCTTTTGTGTCTTCTACTTTGGGTTGGGAATTTTTGTTTTGTTTGTAATGTAAGTGAAGAAAAACTACTGTATAAGAATGTTCTGAAGTTCACACTGTTCACATAGTCTGAGAATCCAGTCATTGCCCTGGTAACTTTATTTTGAGTAGGATTTTCATGCTGATAGACCCAGATTCTTGAAAATCTTCACTATAAAGGCTTCAACAACACTCTGGGACTAAGTTACAAGGCTAATAAAATAGTGAAAGTGCTAGTGCATAAGATATTAGACACTTTTAACAATTTACAAGTATATTAAATATCAATTATATTATAGTTATAAATATTTATTTCACTTTCATTGTTTTCCCATTGTCATGGATTCTATTTTAACTTGGTTTAATTTTAATTCCTTGGCATCTTGAATTTATCCTTCTTACACTGTCCTTTTTTTTTTTTGCTATTTTTTTTTCCATTCCATACCAGGGATCAAACTTGGGACCTTGCACTTGCGAGGTAGGTGGCAGAACCACTGAGCTAAATCCCTGGCCCTCTTTTTGGCTTTTTGTAACGACAGTTATTTTTAAGGAAAAAAGTTAGATTTCTAAATTTCTCTTCTAGATAGTTTCTTAATAAGTTCCTTTATTTAGTTGTTCTCATTAGCAAGTATTCTTTCATTTTTCAGACTTGTCACTTAAAAAAATATCCAACATTTTATTTGTGAGCTCCAAAAATTGTTGATACAACTATAGGCCTCTAGAAAATGGTGACTACATTGCTTGACTACAATGCTGAGCAAAAGCAATACTATTTCAAGCACAAATTCTCTCCTTTTGGATTATTTTTTGAGATAGAAAAAAATCACTTGCTTTGTTGCTATTCATTAGATCCTTTAAAATGTGACGAGAGAAGTGTAAATGTCATATGTGAATTCACCTTTAATCATCCTTCCTGCACTGATGCCTCCTGTGTGGGAGAACAAGGTGTGATCAAAATACAGGATGAATATTTAAATTTTTAAAAATATGTTGCAAAGAAAGACACATTGCCCCTAATCCCTCTCAAAAGACTGCCCCTCACTTTAAACATACCTAACTTATCATTCTTGTCACTTTCTGAGGCACCCTGGAAATGTTGTGGTTTAGACCTAGAACATTCCAAACAGCACATGTGTTTGAGTGTGATTGGCTCATAATGGTGCTATATTCATCAATGGATTTGTTCATTGATGAGGTCATAGCTGAATGTGCTGTGTAAAGGTGCAGAGAGGAGGGAGGTCACTGGGGGTGTGACTTAAAAGAGTGTATTCTTGGTCTGGGGCTTTAGCTCAGTGGTTCTACCACCTGCCTCTCAAGTGCAAGGACCTGAGTTCTATCCCCAGTATCAAAAAAAAAATGGTGTACTCTTGTCCCCAGATTCTTGTCCTCCCTTCCTCTCTCTTTCTCTGATTCCTGGCTGCCATGGGATGAGCACCTGTCTTTCCCCAGGCCCTTCCACCATACTATTTTTACATTGGAGCAAGCCAATAGTGGCCTGAATCCATGAACCAAGACAAAAGTTTCCTCCTTTGAGTTACACATCTTGGGTATTTTTTCCCAGTGAATAATAAAGGAAATCTACTTTTGCAAGTGTCTTTTCATGACTGTATGTCCTGAATGGATTCAAATGTTTATGAAAGTTTCTGTTGAATAAAAATATTGTGGTGTGTCCTCGCTCACCTTACTTGCCAGATCTGACACTGTACAGCTTCTGGCTCTTCTCCAAAGTCAAAATGATCATGAACATTTGCAATCAGTTCAGGACATGGTGATACCCACCACAGTACATCTAAAAACACTCATGACAGACAACCTCCAGAAGTGTTTTGGAAAGTCACAAGAACTATGGGACAAGTGTATATAAAGCAAGGGGGGCTATTATGAGGAAGATTTGTGGCAGTGTGTCTTTTACTTCAATAAATTTTAAGAAGTTAATAATTCATCTTTATTTTTGGATCACACTGTATATGTACATGCTGAAAACACCTGGAGAGTTAATCCCTCAGGATTCTATTTGAACTCTTGGAAGACAGGACTGAGAAATGGTGATTTATAGTCAGCCTTACACACAATGTAAGACAAATATTTGGTAACCTTTAATAAACACATCAATATATATTTTCTTCTTAAAAATTATTCCTCTCACTTTGGTAAAATTTAGGCTTTTATGTGTGATTTACATAATTTGTTTCAGCCCTATTATAAAGCAATAAACATAAAATAAATATTAATTCCTTCAACTATAAGTAATTCTTAAAGTGTGTTGTGTGTGGGGGGGGTGTTCCAGGTTATCTTCAGCCTTCATATTAGGCGGAAAGAAGAAATAAAAGATGAAAAAAATTAAACACTCCCACATTAAGAAAATACAGTTCGAGATTTAAAATAAAATCTCTAGAGAAAATAATTTTAATAAATTCTTTAGAAAATTCTTTGGCCCATCAAAATGGACTAATGGCTACCCTTTAGTCCACACATTCTAGTGAACAGTAAGTTTAGGAAGACATAAGGAACAAAGCATTGGGATGGAAAGGAATCCATGGATATTATATTTAGCTACATTTTGTACTGTGGTCTCTTTAACCTTTGGTGGATCTCACCAAAGCACTGAAGTACTAGAATACATTTAAACGCTGTAGACATTATCAGTACATATTTATACCATGGCTTTTATGACTAGGAAATTTTATAAGTAGTACAATGACTGTAGAGCAAACATGTTTTATGCCAGTGTAAAATATGGCAGAATGAAAAGAAACTTATGTCCAAATATAAATACCCCAATAGAAAATTTAAAAGGAAGGTAACACAAAAGAATTAAGAGAATGTTTTTTAATTATGGGGCTAAGAATTAACTGAACATTCTAGTAAGATACTACTTTTGATTATAAACAATCATTTTTCTGGAAATCATTGTATGTTCATTTGTTAATAAGGTTTCTTTCTTTTTTGTTATTGTTTTGTTTGTTGTTTTTGCTATTAGTTGCACAAATTACCTACATATTTTTATATTAGCTCCTTATCAGATATATTGTTTGAGAGTATATCATCCATTACAGAGATTGTCTTTTCCTTTTGTTGATTGCTTCTTTTGCCATACAGAAGCACAACAAGGTACTAAAATGGACAAATAAATAGTATTACTATCTATATTCTGAAATTAATGCTTTATCTCCTATTCTCCTGTCTTCACTGGTGAGAAATGATTAATTTTCCATAAGAAAGGAAAAAAGTGTTCCTTTCTTGTGAGAATATCATTATTAAATAGACACCCGGTGTTCTTAAATACTTCACTAAATTCTCCTCAAGAGACATGAGAGATTCATTTCAACATCTATAACATGAAATATTGACCTTTGAAGACTGACATTTTGGGTTGGTCTGGACCAACTGGGCCATTGGTTATCAGGTAGGTGGAGAGAAAGCTTTACATTTGACACTCTAAGTAAAATTTCAAGTTACATACTCCAAATTGTTTAGTAATGCAATGTATCAGAAGATTATTTAAAATGGTCAGGGTCTTATGATGCATTTCACTATGGAAGCATGAATAAGGTGGTGTATGACAGCTGTAGACAGGACAAAAAGGATAAGTGGTACCAAGCATTGCTCAGAGTTTACAAAAATATCTATGATTTAAAACAAGAACTTTTTACCATAAAGACAGGACTTGTTGCCTATTTAATAACTACTAAATCAAATAGGATTTGAAGTCTAAAATACTTCATTAATTTCCTTCCCACATTTAAGAGCAGATGTTTGGGAGAGGAAAATATGTTCTGGTAAACTGAATTCTGAGAGTGTAACTTTTTTTTCCTACTTGATTTTTAGCTTCACAGCTGGGTCCCATTGTAATCCTCACCAGGATGTGTTCAGATTTAGATGAATTTTGTGTTCAGATGGTCAGGCCATCTGTATGGTCTACAAACTATTCTTCCAAGCCTGAAGCTCATGGGCCTGGACAATTTCAACCAGACATGGGTGAGCGAATTCATTCTCCTGGGGTTGTCCAGTGACTGGGCCACTCAAGTCTTCCTCTTCGTCCTCATCCTGGTCATGTACTTAATAACTATGGTGGGGAATTCCCTCATTCTCCTCATCAGGCTGGACAGCAGGCTCCACACCCCAATGTACTTCTTCCTCAGCGTTCTGTCTTTGGTGGACATTTGCTATGCAAACAGTGTTGTCCCCCAAATGCTGGCCCACTTCCTCTCAGCCCCAAAGCGCATCCCATTCCATGGTTGCGTGCTCCAGCTCTGGGCTTCCCTGGCATTAGGTGGTTCTGAATTCTTCCTTTTGGGGGCCATGGCCTATGACCGCTATGTGGCAGTGTGCCACCCACTGCACTACACAACTATCATGCATGGAGGACTATGCCTGGCATTGTCTGCCAGCTGCTTGCTGGCTGGTTTCTCCAATTCACTAATGGAAACAATCATTACTTTCCAGCTCCCCCTGTGTCACAATGTCATTAATCACTTTGCCTGTGAGACTCTAGCAGTGCTTCGGCTGGCCTGTGTGGACATCTCCTTCAACAAGGTCATGGTGGCCTTCTCAGGATTTGTAGTGATCGTACTTCCTTGTATCCTGGTCCTGCTTTCCTATGCTCGGATAGTTGCTGCCATTTTGCACATTCGCTCTGCTAAGGGACGCCACAAAGCCTTTGGGACCTGCGCTTCTCATCTCACTGTGGTTTGCATGTGTTTTGGAGCTACCATCTTTACCTACCTGGGGCCACGCTCTGCCTCCTCTGTGAAGAAAGAGAAGATGGTTGCTCTGTTTTACACGGTGGTAGCTCCCATGTTGAACCCCTTGATCTACAGCCTGAGAAATAAGGATGTTATTGCTGCTCTCCAAAAAATATTAGAGAAATTCAGAAAAGGGATCTGAAGACATTTTTTCAAAAAATTTTTTGGTATTTTTTAGGTATACAGTACAGTTAGATTCATCATTGAGATCTTGTACCTTTACATGACGTATCTTGGTTCTTATTTTTTCCCCATTTCCCTGCCCTACCTTCAGCCCTTCCACGCTTCACTATTTAAAAAGACTTTGTTTCCATTTTTTACTTTTCTCATTTTTTTTTCTTTTCCCTTCTTTCCTTTCCCCTACCCTTCCCACTTCCCCTATACCTTTAGCCCTTTTCTTCCCATTTGTCATTATCAATCATACAGTTTAAACCTGATTTATGCTTTTGGTTTTTCATACCAGAGAAACTACTTGATATTTACACATGTGTTCTATTTATTTCACTTGAGTATGGCCTCAATGTATTGATTTTGCTAAAAATGACTTTAGTTTCTCATTCTTTATGGCTGAGTAGTACTCCATTTTTATAGAAAAAACACATCTTCTTTATCCAATCTACAGTTGATGGGCAATTGGGCTGTTTCCAAGTTTTAGCTATTACAAACAGTGCCACTATAATCATGGGTGTGTATTTATTGCTGTGGTATGATTACTTTAAAATTTTTGGAAAGATATCTAGCAGAGGGATAGCTGGGTCAAATGGGACTTCTAATCCTAGTTCTTTGAAGTATCTCCATATTGATTTCCACAGTGGTTGCACCAGTCTGCCCTCCCACCAACAATGGAGAAGGGTTCCTTTCTCTCCACAACCCCGCTAACATTTGTTATTGGTTAATTTCATGGTAGCAGCCATTTGTTGTGGTGTCAGGTGGAATCTCAGTGTTGTTTTCATCTGCATCTCTTGACTGACTAGATATGGAATATTTTTTTCATATATTTATCTGCTGTTTTTATTTCTTTGTCTACGAAATGTCTATTCATTTCAGATGCTCAGTGTTTAATCAGGTCTTTATAGTTAAGAGGTCTTTTTTTTTTTAAGTTCTTTATGTATTCTAGATAGTAGTCTGCATCTCTTGACTGACTAGATATGGAATATTTTTTTCATATATTTATCTGCTGTTTTTATTTGTCTACGAAATGTCTGTTCATTTCAGATGCTCAGTGTTTAATCAGGTCTTTATAGTTAAGAGGTCTTTTTTTTTTTTTAAGTTCTTTATGTATTCTAGATAGTACACCTTTGTCTGTGGAACAGCTGGTAAAATTGTTTTCCACAATGTACATTTTCTCTTAGCTCTATTGTTGGTTTATTTTGCAGTGCAGAAGCTTTTTAAAAAGATGAGAACCCAGTTATTGATTCTTTGCACTAGTTCCCATGCTACTGAGGATTTTTTAAGAAAGTCTTTTCCTAGGCCAACATCTTCTAGAGTTCTACTTAACATATCTTCCAGAAAGTTTAGTGTTTCTGTTTTAATATTTAGATCTTTAATCTACTTTGATTTTAATTCAGTGCATGGTGAAAGATGGGGGCCTAGTTCTAATCTTTGGCAGGTTGAAATCAAGTTTATTAAAGAGGGTATTTTTCCTCCAGTGAGAATGATTGGCTCCTTTGTCAATGATGAGGTAATTGAGTATATCTGGAGTTGATTTTGTATCTTCCAATCTATTCTACTGATCCTCAAGTCAGTTTCTTTGCCAGTACCATGCTATTTTTATCACAGAGGCTTTGTAGCATAGTTTCAAGTTGGGAATTGTGCTAACCCATCATGTCCCTGTTGCCTAGAATTGCTTTTGCTATTCTATGTCTCCTCTGACTCCAAATGACTATTTGGGTTGTTTTCTCCAGTTTTGTGAAATATATTGTTTGGATTCCATTGGGCTTGTACTGAATCTGTATAGCAGTTTGGGAAGTATGGCCATTTTACTATATTGGTTCTTTCTACCTGGGAGCAAGGGATATCTTTCCATTTTCTTATATCCTCTTCGATCTCTTTTTTCAGAGTGATATAGTTCTCAATGTAGAGGTCTTTAGCTTCCTTCATTAGATGTATTCCTAGATATTTCAGTTTTTGAATGCTATTGTGAAAGGAATTATTTCCCTGGTTTCTCTCTCAGTGAGACTGTTATTTGTGTACAAGAAGGCTATTGATTGTTGAATGTTTACCTTATTTCCAGCTACTCTACTGAATCAGTCAATTAAATATAGCAGTCTTCTGGCAGAGATTTTTGGATCTTCTGTGAAAGGAATTATTTCCCTGGTTTCTCTCTCAGTGAGACTGTTATTTGTGTACAAGAAGGCTACTGATTGTTGAATGTTTACCTTATTTCCAGCTACTCTACTTAATCAGTCAATTAAATATAGCAGTCTTCTGGCAGAGATTTTTTGGATCTTGTTTGTAGAGTATCATATTGTCAGCAAGTAATGACAGTTTAACTTCTTCCTTTCCTATCTTGATTCCTTTTATTTTTTTTCTCTTGTCTAATTGCTGTGGCTGATTCCAGAATTATATTGAACAGGAGTGATGATAGTGGACATCTTTTTCTTGCTCCTGATTTTAGCTTGAAGGTTTTCAGGTTTTGACCATTTAGTATGATATTAGCTGTTGGTTTTTCATAGATAGTCTTTACGAAGTTGAGATAAAGACCCTCTATTCTAATTTTCTGCAGAGTTTTTATCATGAATAGGTGTTGAATTTGTCAAGTAGGTTTTGTGCATCTATCTAGATGATCATATGGTTTTTGTCCTTGACTCTGTTCATATACTGTTTTACATTTATTGATTTACATATATTGAAGCATCCTTTCATCCTTGGAATAAATCCAACTTTGTCAGGTTGCATGGTATACTTGATGACCCTCTGTGTTCTGTTTGCCAGTATCTTTGAGGATTTTTCCTCTATGTTCATTAGGGTCTGTAGTTCCCTTTTTTGTAGAGTCTTTTCTTGATTTTGGAATCAAAGTAACACTTTCCAGACATGAATTTCGAAGTATTGCTTCTCTTTCAATTTCATTGAAAAGTATAAAGAGTAGTGGCAATAGTTCTGCCTTAAATGTTTTGTAGAATTCAGCATTGAAGCCATCAGGACTTGGGCTCTTCTTTGTTGGTAATTTTTTACACTCTCAATTTCACTGATGTAATTGGGGCGTTTAGAATTTTTTTAATCTTCTTTATTCAACTTTGGTCATTTGTATGTATCTCAAAATCTGTCATTTCTTCTGTGTTTTCCATTTTATCAGAGTACAGGTTCTTCAAGAAGGTATTCATGTCCTTTAAATTTCTTTTAGATCTTTGTGATTTCACCTTTTGCATTCCTAATTGTATGGATTTGAGCCTTTTCTTTTCTTTTTATGATTAGGTTGGCTAGGGGTTTATCGATTTTATTCATTCTTTTGAAAACCAACTCTTGGATTCATTGATTTTTGGTATTGTTTTCTTAGTCTCCATTGCATTGATTTCTGCTCTGATCTTTACAATTTCCTCCCTTCTAGAATCTTTGGGTTTTCTTGTTCTTCTTTTTCTAGGAGCTTAAGATTCAGCTTTAGGTTGTTTATTTGAGCTCACTCTGTTTTCCTAGTGTGGGCATTCACTGCTATAAGTTTCCCTCATAGAACTGCTTGCATTATGTCCCATAGATTCCTGTATGTTGTACTGGTATTATCATTTATATATAAAGTGTCTAATTTCTTAATTTCCTTTGTGACCCATTGTTCAGGAGAGTGTTGTTCAATTTCCATGTGTTCTGTGAACTTTTTGTACTTTCTTATGCTATTGATCTCCAGTTCAATTGAACTATGGTCTGATAATATACATGGGATAACTTCAATTCCTTTGCATTTACTTCAACATGTTCCATTAGTTAGTATATAGTTTATTTTGGAGAATGAACTGTGTGCAGCCCAAAAAATGTATATTATGATTTTTTGGGGTGGAACACTCTGCAGACATCTATTAAGTCCATTTGTTCAAGAGCTTGGTTCCATTCTAGGATTTCATTGTTGATTTTTTGTCTAGATGATCTGCATATTTGTGATAGTGGGGTATTGAGGTCCCCCACTACAATTGTATTAGTGTTTATTTGGTTTTTCATGTCTCTTAGTATTTGTTTTGTATAGATGGGGACATTGTTATTTGGTGCATATATATTTATGACTGTCAAGTCTTCCTCTTGGATTTTTCCCTTTACAAGAAATAGTGACCTTCCTTTTCTCTCTTAATCGGTTTTGGTTTGAAATTTACTTTGCTGTGAATAAGATAGCTACCCCTGCTTTTGTCTGGGTTCCTATCACATGGAGAACTGTTTTTCATCCTTTCACTTTCAGTCTATGAGGTTTGTTTTGTTTTGTTTTTAACTAGGTGCTTTTCTTGTATAAAGCATTTGTTGTATTTTTCTTTTTAATCCATTCTGCCAGTGTACTTCTTTTGATTGGTGAATTAAGGCCATTCACATTGATGGTTATAACTGATAAGTATTGACTTATCATTGTCATGTTATTGTCCCATTGTTAGCTCTTTTAATTTTCCTCCCTCTCCCTTTAATTTCTTGCCTTGCCTAATGGATTTGCTCTGCTGGGCCTCATGAAGTTGTGACCTTCATTCTCTTTTCCTAGGATAATTTTTAGAATTTTTTGGATTGGTGATTTGGTATTCAGGAAGTTTCTCAGGTGTCCTTTGTCATGGAAGTACCTCACTTCCCCATCAACTTTGCAAGATAGTTTTTCAAGATACATCAGTCTAGGTTGGAGGTTCTCCTTTAGGGCTTGAAATACCTCACAATAGGTGCCTCTTGACTTGGGGGTTTGTGTTGAAAAGTCTGCTGTGATTCTGATGGGCTTTTCTGTGCATGTTTTTTTTTTTTCTTTTTTTCTAACTGCTTGTAGGATTTTGTTCTTCAGTTTGGTTTCTGGATGTTGATTATTATATTTGTAGGTATTTTTTTTATCATGGCTAATTGAAGTCCTACATGCCTCATTTATCTGTATGTTAAATTCTTTTGCTGTGTTTGGGAAGTTTTATGTCATTAATTCTGTGAACAATTTTTTTTTACATCATTTGTGCTTTCTTTTGCTACTTC